AAAAAAGAAGGAACGCAAGCTAAATCAAACCCAGAGAAGACACAATGAGTTGAACAATAGCGTTAGTCTAACAGTGATTTTGGCCACATAGTACCGGCACTAGCTGCACAGATGCCTCAGTGAAGGATCACAGCAAGCGGATTGGACATCAGCTTCCTTGTGTTCCCAACCATCCCCATGGCTCTGGGCAGCCTTTACGTTTGCATGCAGATCCTCGGTTAAGGCACACTCAGCCACACGCTTGCAGCACCTTCACGTGCAGCTCCTGCTTCTTAACCCTTTCGGGGTGCGTGCCTTACTCTCATAGAGCTGGAGTCTGCAGGAGGGGAGAGGGGACGCGATACCAGCAGGAAACGTACCTGCCTTTCCCTTCTTAATGCTCCCAGAGGCGAACAGGTTTTAGCAGACAAGGCCAAGCCGCCAGCCCTGTTCTCTCCATTAATGAGACACTGTCTACGTATTTAATCTACACTCTTCAAAGGGTGGGGGGCCTTCTGTAAAGTGCCTCCACGTCATTACACCCCACATATGAACTGAGCAAACACCGCTTTCCTAGTTTGGAAGAGGTGAGCAACTTTTGGTGTTTACACAGCCACTGAGCAAAGAGGGTATCGGGCTAATCCTGCCCGGCCAGCAGCCCATGAAAGGGCTGTCCTGCCATGTGCATTCATCACCCTCCAAGAAATAATCCTTTGAACAAGGCCCAAGGCTAAAAGCTGCAGTGGCTGCAGAAAACACCAAGCAAAAACGATGGGATTTTCTTTGCCCTTTAGCAAGGGACTGATGGATTTCAGACCTGCCCTAACCTCAGTCCTGTTTGGAGAGTTAACCTCCTCCTGCCTGGCTGTCTTCAATCTTCTCATCACCGATATTGCATCACTCACCCTGGGCTGTAACGTTTCACTCTGACCTTCAACTGGCGACTTCTTTCACAGTAGCAAGGGTAAGGCACTGACTGCCCCTTCCCATCGGAGCAGGGAATGGAAAGGCTCAGGGACAGGAAGAGATATGACGTAACCCTCAAACTATGAGCTGTGACGGGAAAAGATCCGTCTGAGCATATATATAAAGCCAAGCGGTTTATGGTGATGGAAAATTTCATCCTATACTACTTATCTACAGCATTTCCAAACTGGGAAATAGAGGTATGTGCATTGTCCAATAAAAATAAACTCTGCTCGAGGGATATCATGTTGCTTTTAAAAGAGTGTGAACTCTTCGCCTGTCAGATTTTAGGAAGCAAGGCCAGATCTGAGTGAATGTCAATTTGCACAGTCCCTCTGATTTGGAGCCCTGGCGAAATGAAGTCAGATGTTTTCTTGTACCTGCTGGCTTTCAGCATTAAATCTTAGCGGCACTTGGCAGGCCCAGAGAACTTAGCGCTAAAAGGTCTTTAAGACACTTTGGAAATGATGAATTTAAGATTGTCTATCTGTCCTCGGCAGTAGGAAGACAGACAGCTCTCTATTCGGGAGAAATCTAAGTGCAACGGCACACACTTAGCAGTGCATTAACGAGGCTGCACAAAGCCCGTTTCCCCTAAATGCCTGCAACAGGAGGGCAGAACGAGCCTGCTACTCGCTGCCCCGCTGCAGTTTACACCCTGACACGTTAACGTGCGCCAAAATCTGCTCTTGCTCCTGTTAGTCTGCTGGCTGCAAAAACATCAGTTTGGAAACAACCAGATCCGTTTGGGAAGCATTGCAGTTGTTACTAATTACTGTGGGAATGTAGCAATAAAAGGGGCAATTTGGTATCTAAGCTCTGCACATCATCTTAAACCAGGTCTACTTTGAGTAAAGTCTGGTTTCAAAAGCAGTGTAAGGATAAACTGAAATATCTCCCACTGGAAATCTCAGTGGGAGATTTGTACTTGTTTAGCTCCATCCGTTTAATAGCTGAAGCCAGTGGAACTTGTGGAGAAACCTAACCACAGCACTGCTATTCAGTAGAAAATTCCAGGCCACTCAATCCCTGATCTCATTCCAATTAGAAAACATCAGTTGGACAAGCTGTGGGCTACCCAGAAGCTTACAAAACTATGATGTTTCCTTTGGTGAATGCAAAGTATGACATCCAGAATTCCCAGGCATGTTAGAGAGGGCAAAGACTTTCAACTCGCTTTCACACAAGCCTTTTGACCCCCCTGTTTCGGAGTTGATGACCCTATGAGTAACCCTTCTCATCCTCTTTGACTCAAAGTATGTCACACCAGCTGCTAATGAGATAAGGCAGGATTAAGAAGAGGAGGAAAGCTGAATGAAGGGGGAGGGTTTAAACATTTGACAGCTAGCTGTGACTGAAAAATACTCCACAACGGCATTTTAGAAATTTACAGCTCATCACCTTTAGCCCTTAATCCTGCTGCAGTAAAACCAGCAGAAAAAAGAACACCTTTCAGCTCCCGTTGACCTTCAAGGAAGAGAAGAAAAATCAATTTGGCTTTGCCAAATAGAAGCAACAGTACGGTCCTATCCAAGTTGTTTAGGAGCCCCAAGCAGCAACGTGGAAGGGAGAAGGGCACACACACTGCTCGGGATTCTCAAACTTGCCCTGTTGATGGACATCAAGCTACAGAAACTGTGCCAAAAACAAAAGCATTTAGTTGCAGAGACCTCTCAATTCACAAAGGACAGAAGTTACTCCCCCTTAGTCAAGCCTAGTCAAGCCTCTGGATTGCCAGATGAGTGATCATCAGGTTCATCTCAGAGGCTACGTCTTGCTAGGAGACGGATAACGACATTGCACTGACATGAGGGAAAAACCATTCTGCCTGAGAGGTACATCTGGGTTCAAATACCAGCAATTTCCATTCTGCAGAAAGCCTCCTGGCGCTCTCTTTGCTCTATTCACCCTTCTCCGCTGTGGCACTAACACTGCATTTGCTCACACTGGAACTCCAGCATGAGGTTAACAGCAGCAGTAAACATATGGGCACGTAGAGCTGAGGCTGACAACAGCCACGGCCCAGAAAATACGACGCTATTTCCTGCCAACTCTTACAGGCTAGCAAGTCTCAGCTTAGTGCAGGTACTTAAAAACAAAGCTTTTTTTGGTTGTTGTTGAGCTAGTTCAACATCCTTTAGTCACCGGTACCCCTTAGCAACTGCTGGGAATGCTGCTGCTTGTAACGTCATGTGGATCCTTTCATCCATACCCAGCTCCCAAGAGCTGCCAGGACACGGGGAATACAGCTTATGCCACATCTCTTTCTCCTGAGTGATCCTGTTGGTGACTCATGCTTCCACCATGTGAACTGCTTCGATCTCATGATTCATTTCACTTATTACACATGAAGCCTAAACACCCACACAGCATCAGCACAAGCTAGCCCTCAATTACCCAATGTGTCCAATTCATTAGTCAGACTCCAGTGCTTAGCTAATGGAAAAGCAGAGCCCTCCGAAGTTTTTATGATTAATATCTGAAGCATCTCAGAGTAATGTGCCCTCTGTCTAGACCAAAGCATCTTTTCTTCCAGTCCTCTGTTCTGAGGATTCTCTGTGGCTGTGGGGAGGTCAGTGTCTGCCAAAGCCATCACTGATGTTCCATGATCTCGCCTCGTTCCCCATGCAACAACAGTGCCGTTGACCCAGGCAGTTCGGGATCCCTCTAGAAGGCCTCCCTGTCCTCCTTGGCCAAGCGAAGCAAGGTCAAGGCAAGCAAGGGTTCTGCTCTCATATCCTACACATCTGTGCCCTTGCATGGGAGCCTTCCTCGAGAGCAGCAAACGCAGCCGGTTCACGCATACAGTGTTCTTCCTAACGCCTCTGCAGGGCGATGAAGAAAATGCCGAGAGATCTTTTATAAGCTGGTGGCTATGGGGTAGCTATTTGAATAATTTTGCTTTAAAATGATAAAGAAAAAAAGAATACTGTTACCCATTGTATCAGGTCGTAAACAAAGCCAGCGTTCAGCCATGGAAACCACACTGTGGTATGTGATACATCCTGGATTCCCTTTTTGCTTAAAATAAGATTTGTCTGTGGTAAGCAGATAGGATCTTCTGGTAAATTTTAACCAAGGGAACCACTGAATTTGCACATTGAAACATCATAGCATCCGAAATAAGGGAGAATTTAGCTGAGTCACCACAAATACTTTCCACCCTGAAAGCTGAAGGATCAAACACATTTTTTTCCTTTGAAGACTTCAAGCCCAACTTTCTTTCCATCCAGCATTTCCCCTGGATCTTGATTCTGCAGTAATCTAACAAGTCTAGCTGGAGAATGAGTCAAGCATTTTGCTTCTGTCATTTCCCTGGGACTCTAAACCTCAGTCCAGCAGTCCAGGCTCACAATCCAGAACCTTTCCTCCAACGACCAGCTTACCTTTTCCTGTGTTCAGTTTCATTTATTCATTTCTAGTGCTAATCCCCCATCCCCTCTGGTATTTCCATACAGTTATCACAGCCGTTTCATCACCACTTAGCTAAACTGTGCAAAAATCTCTTTACATCTTTCCTCGTCAATCTATCCATTTCAGCCCACGGTAATAAACTCTGTTCACCTCATCCAACCCTAGCTGCTGACCCAGTGTTATGCCAGAGCCTTTCAAATTGCTCCCTGTACCCAAAGGGAAGCATCAGGGGGAAGAGAATGCAGTAATTCAGTACTCTAAACCAACAAAGCCACCTAGGTCCAAGGTCTGTGAATACTGCATATATCCTGACTCTCCAAGTTCCTTCTTTGAAATATTAAACCACAGATTTCAATTCTGCTAATTTGTTGTGAAAAAGGAAGGTGATATACTATCTCTTTACTTATTCCCATGCTGTAAAAAAAAAATAAAAAAACCTTTAAATTCTTACTAGATAAATAATACTATGAACAGCTGAAATTCAGACCTGAAACTTGCATCTTTAGGCAGCATCTAAAGGTGTTGTCAGGCGTTTGCTTTAACCACAGCGTGCTGCTGGGGTAACCTATAACGTATAGTGTCAGACTTCCCTGTCTTCAGCAGGCTCTGGGTCAGCAGCTTATGATTTTAACTACATTTACCTCTATTTGGTTAAGCAGCGAGTTGTCAAACTTGAAGCCAGGGATTCTCTTTTCACTGCAGACCACTCCCACGTCTTCAGTATGCTTGCAGTCGGTCACTCCCCAGCCGTTGGAAGTGCATGCTGCCAGGGTGGTCTCCTTGCCATTACAGTGGACATTGTCCATCCAAATCCTCCCTGAAGGGGAAAGAAGGCAAAACTGAGATTCACAGAGACGGCAGATCTCGATTACGGTGATAACTGGTAGAAAAGCAAGTGATGCTGCTGTCTTCCTAACATGGCAGGGGAAGAAATTAGTTCTTAAATAAACGAGAACAAAGCAGCTAGGGAACATCACCTCTCCACCTCAGGTACTTACTTAACTGGAAACATCTCTGACCCACAGCTCTTCCTTTGCCCTATCAGCATGGTATTGAAAAACCCTTCAATGCTGAAGTCAATCCCATATTTAAGGCTACATGCCTGAAAGATGCAAGTAAGTGGAGCCTTACCCATAGAGGGTCTGGTCCTGCACAATCCAATAATAACTGGTCAATCCAAAAGTGCGCTAGCCAGGGAGTCCCCTGCAGCGTGGGATAAAATCCCCTGCTTCACCCACAAGCTCCTCGTGCCACCACTGCCTGCTGTTTGCATCAGCACACAAAGGACCATCAGCCTGAAGCAGATCTCTGTTGCAGTCCTGCTTACCATGAAAACTGATCTCCACTGATGATAGCCACTTTAGAGCAAACAGTGTCACTGGGCCCTTCAGTTTGGCTGATTAGACTCTGCCCTCTAATCATACTCACCAAATCATCCCTTTTATATTTAAGGCTTCTCTTTACATCATTTCTGATTTGTCAGATCCTCATTAAATCCCTTTTGGAAAATATCTCCAAGTTTTGATTAAATCCCTTACTTTTTAAAGGCAGATGCTGGCAGAAGCTTTAACAAACCACTGTTGATTGGAACCTCCTCTTATTTGGGTGCTCTTCGAAACCCAATTGCCAGATCCAGTTTCCAGACTGCAATTACCACTATCCCTCCAGGAAAAGGCATGCATATGTGCATGTACGTGCACATGTATGTATTCACCCATGTGTATATTATAGATTAAAAAAAAAAAAAGAGAGAGAGAGAGAGTTGAGTTCTAAGAGGAGGACACAAAAACAATAGGCCACATCTCCAAATTTTGGCAACATTTTCCCAGGAGCTGCTGACAGCAAAGAACCAAAAGCATCTGAGTGATGAATCATGAGATTCACCCTCATGAAGTGCTTGTTACAGTTGTCTCCCTTTGGAAATGGGCCAGGTATTTGCAGCTTTCCTGCAATTTGCTGGCCCCTAAATTGCATGGAGCAATGACTAACAAGCAATTCTCATATTGTAGGGTCCCCAGTGCTTTGCATCTCTGTAGATTAACACATCCTTTGGATATAAAGAACTGCCTGACCTTCAGATCCATTGCTCTGTAGAAAAAAAAAAAGAAAAAAAAAATCAGAGCTGTTTCCCTTGGCTGCCCCAGCTGCATACTAGCAGCTCTAACACGTTTGGTTGGTTAATCACCAGACGACAGATCTGCCAGCCCTCTCCAGGCTCCCCAAACAGCAGGGCAGGAAGAACTCCTGTGAAGCCCAGCTCTATCATTTGAGGAAGGCGTGATTCCCCACAGCATGGGCTCTCTGCATCAGGATTTTTTATCCAGCGCTATCCTGGCGTGCAGAGAACACTCACTCCCGTTAAATCACATGGCAATACGTTTCTGATTTATTTTCAAATGTCATAGCCTCTCTCTCGGAAATCTCCTCCTCAACCCCAAGAGCCAAAATCCACAGCTTGGGACAACATTCAAGGTTTCACATTTCAGTCAAGTCAATATTAAGGCCTGCTTGCTCTTTTATGTGCAAGTGGATAGGTGTGAGCACTAATGAGCGGTGCTAAGTAGCAGAAAGGCAGCACGTGTATCCCTGCTGTAGTGGAATTAATCAGTCTATGGGCCAGGCTTTAATCTTTGAAGATAAGTTTCCCAGTAGGCCAACCTTTAGCTAACAGCATATCAAGGCAGACAAACGCATCTATTGAGGTCAGAAAGCTACATACTCCCACAGAGCTATTCTACCTCAAGCAGTGTGATTTTAATAGTTCATTGCTACCTATAACAAACAAACATTCAACTTTCCAAATCTTTGCTCAACACATACTTGGGCACAAGATGTGATGAAACGTAGGCAATCTCAGGCTACAGGACCATCACATACAATTTCAAAGACCAAGAAAGAAAGGACATGCACGGTTTGGTGAGTGAAGAGCTCTTCCCCGCCAGAATCAGCCTGAGAGTGTCCCAAAGGATTACTATAAATGTGATCTTATAGAGGACATGAAGCATGCATGCTCCTTTGGGGGATTTATAGGCTAATTTGCATTGCAGAATATGATGTACGTGCTTCTAGAGAGGCTAACAGGGAAAATATATATATATATATATGATTTCTATAACATTGCATAGGTGGTGCATTTGGAGCCTAAACAGTTCAGAGGAATAACTGATAGGAGGAAGGAGCTGTTAGAGGCTGTATTTGGCTCATTGTAAGGCCATGGAAGAGTGAAGGGGGAAAGGAACAATCAACCAATTACATTTGTGGGTGCAGCTCCCCTTCTGCCTATCTGTACTCGCTGCGGAAGAGCCTGCTACGCTCATCCACCACCAGCTGCTTCCCAACCATCCCCTGCCAGAGTTCACAGGACATTGAGATCTGTCCTTTGGCTCTGATCATTCCTTAGCTTGTTTCAGTCAAAAGAAGCAAACATATCATTTAAACTGTTTAACCTAGTGGGACACTGATTTAGCGAGCTTCTGCTTTGCCCGGCACCTATTTCTGTTACGTTTGTAGGAAACGTCACTACTTCCTAAATTTGATCGACAGATCAAGAACTGTTGGGTGTTGGAGACAGCTAATACAATGTTATTGCTCTGGAGTTCCCTTACCTTCTCCTTTTCCATACTTTGAGCTTGGTAGCCAGGACACAGCCTCCACGTAGCCCAGCTCCCTGCAGACCACGTGAGCGGCGTGGATGGAGAAGTCATCATCACACACTGTGCCCCACTCGCCGCTGTAAAACACCTCCACTCGGCCTTCATTGTGTTTTCTTTTCTGCCCTGCCAGGCGCAGCTGGATCTTGGGAACGTTTGCCGGCCTCGGAGGGGTCTGGTACACTTGCGGGGGTGGCTCAGGGTAACCGGGGAGGTAGGGCCAGTGTTCATACTGGGCAAGGCCCAGTGGGCTCAGGGAGGTGAAGAAGAACAGCATGATGAAACAGTGGTTATGGTTGAAACCCAGGAATCTTTCCATTTTCAGTGCTCACAGTTCTCAGAGCCAAATCCTCTGCTAGCAGCTGCCAATCAGTGCAGGTAGGTACTGTGTGGCTGTCCTGAAATGAAAGGAAAGTTTGTGTAAGGCTTGGTAATGACACAGACTTCATATCTCTTGCTTCAGCAGGGGATGGAAGCTATGGAAGCGACTATATCCAATGTTGCCTGTAAAATACAAAGTCAAGTAAATTATATTTTGTGGGGTGGAGGTACACACACAAAAAAAACCCAAAACCCACAAAAACCATTTGCAAGTTTGGGCCAACTTGCCAAATGGTTTTGGCTGGAAAGCATTTTTTCCAGTGCAAAATTCCACAGGTCAAGTGCTAGCAATAGGATTTTCCTACCCCTCTGAAAATCCAGTAGTTTAGTGCCCCTAACAGGCTTTGGCCAATCTGGATTCAAATCCTACCAGGACAGAACTGAACCATGTTTCTCCCACACCCCCTTTGACAAGGGAGCCAAATCCATCATTTAAACAATGGAAAACCAGAAGGAAAATGAAATACAGCCTACTGTGCTCACAAGTGAGGTTTATATTGAAGTCTGTTTTCCCCAATACGATGGTAGAGGGCTTGTTTCTGTTACTGTACGCCTGGTTTCATCTGTATAAAATTGACGTATGTTATCGTACACAGATACACTTGCAGAAGTAGCTCTGTCTGACCTTGCCGGATTAACGCTAACTGCTCTTCAGCCTTTGGCCGCTAAGTCTAGATAGGGACTCACTTGTTGCACAACTGCTACATATAAACTAGTCAGTTAAGGTATGAACGGGAAACTTTTTGGCCCGTTAAAGGAACTTCACCCAGATGTTGTATACAGTTCAGTGTTTGATCATTTTCTGCCCCTTCTCACTCTCATACTCCCCAGCTTCATTCAGGCACCCAGCACATGGAGTGGTCCAGTCACACATGGCGAGGTTAACGGTTGAATAGTTTCCAAATGAAGCAATGCCAGAGCACGGTGGGGAAAAAGCTCCCCAGCTCTTTAAAGCTCCGTTATTTCCTGGCAACCACCAAAGGGGAGGTGCGGGGAGAGATTTGGCTCTGAAAACAGATGTCTAAAAGTAAAAATCCTCCAGTATTTTTGCTAGGTCTTAGCCATCCCCAAAAAGTGACGAGAAGATGACACACACATGTGAAGGCAGTGAAATGCATTAAGCAGCTTTTCAAAGTAGAGAGGAGATGCATCACAAATCCCAAGCAATTAATCTGAAACTTAGGAGACATCAGGTCAAATCTCAGCACTGAGGCTGATGTGCTGCGCGATCTCAAGCGAATCACTTCCACTGCTGTGCCTCAATTTCCCCTTGTGTCAAACAGGGCTGATGATAGTGAGCTTCCTCCCTTTGAGACCTGGGGGTAGAAAAGCATCTGCCCAAGAGCCACGTGCATGAAACAGACTTTTAACCTGCATGCTTCTATCATTGGATATCAGAGAAGGGAACAGAAAAAGTAAGGTGGGACTCAACAACAGATTTAACTACACCAAGGGGATAGGGAAGGGGGAAAACAGGGGTAGAAAATTCCTGAGTCTTGTTTTTAAGTAAAAATTTGGTTTCAGGGCACCAGGCACTCTCACAGTGGTTTCACCAGATTGAGATTTGTAAGTTTTCATAAGGCACTCAAAGAAATACTAGCATGGAAACAAAAGTATTTTTAGAAATTTTGCAGGTTAGGTGGTGAGGCTGAAAGAGCAAGGGAAAAAAAATATCCTGACTATGTCAGAGAAAGTTGGAGGGGGAGAGAGGAAGGAAGTACAATTCCTTTCACAAGGCTGCTCTCCTCCAGCAGCAAAGAGGATTTCCCAAAGAAAATGCAGTCAATGGCACAGGATACATGTGTTTTATAAAAATAAAAGGCTCCTGACTAAAGACATATTCATACTAGTTAGACATGCCTGACTTCAATACCTACCAGCAATGATTTCACAAGAAACCTCTTACAGTGTTTTTCACAGAGATGAGATGATTTTTAGCCCAGAGAATAACACACGGGCAGAGTGATTACCGTGAACAGTATTTAAAAAAAATAAAAATACAAGAAATCCCTGTAGTCAGATCATAACAGGGAAGACCAACATACATTAGTTGCAAGTCAAACAACTGATGGAGAAAAAAAAGACGGAGAGAGTCCAGCCTCTCCCGAACAGAGGCAGGAACGGCAGGCATTAAGACTACGACTCCTCTGTGCAGGGAGACATCAGAGAATAGAAACGTGAACCCAACAGAGGACTAACAGAAAATCTGGTTTTCAGTTCTGATCTTCTTTAAACACCTGTTTTGACCTACTTCATTTTATTTAGTTGTTTGTCTCTTGCTACTGCAGAAATCGGCTTTTGGATTTAATAAGCCTGAGCAAACGTGTAGCAGGCAACCTGGTGATGGACATTTCAGGAGGCCAAGCCAGATAATCTGAGGTGAGTGGCCTTAAAGTCAAGTCTTGGAAGACCTGTAGCTCCCGAGAGAGGAGATGGCACGTCATCGTAATAGGACAAATTTCCCTCTAGGTTACAGTTTTGTTTATAATCCTCCAGAAAGCTTAATAATAATTAAACAGGAATACTTTGCAGAAGGAAAGGACCAACAAATAGTCTGCAACCAGCAGGTCAGCACGTTTCACTTATCCTTCTTGTGCCAAGGCAAACAATGACCAGTGGTAACTCTGCTCTTGGGTTAAGAGGGGTCTTTCATGATCAGAGGCCAAGGAGTAGGTAGCTAAAAAACGGCGTTACTCACTCTCCAGGACTGCTTTCCATACGGACCAAAGCTCTTGGGTCGTTTTACTGAAGGACTTCAGCCAAAAGACACAAGAATCTGGGGAAACCGTTCAGAGGCAGGATGTAATAGTTACCAGCTGAGCACGGTGCTCCCTGAAGTGTTAATTAATAAAGCAGACAGACCACTGCAAGATGCCAGAGCCTTTTTAAAAAAGGCTCAGCAATGGGAAACCTCATGGCGCGCAAGCAGCTGTAGGATGGGGGTGACAAAAGTCTTCCAGGTTACTTTAATTAGATACCAAGCTTAGTCAGGCAGGTACTAACTTAGGTCTTTGTGCAAATACAGTAGGTCCAGTTTGCCCTCTTGGCACAGCCCTGCTGGCCTTGCCAGGTCAGGAGACCCAGGAGTCCCATACTCCGAATTGCAACCACAGGCTGCTTTGCTTTTGTTCCCCGAAAGCTTAGAGACTTTGGGAGTCGAGTGAGATTAAGAAAAAACATCATTTACCATAGAACTTAATGAAAACCTGGTGAGGGAAGATAAGGTTCCCTGAGAGCCCCTTGCTCAGCAGAGGGGAGTTGGACTAGCAAAACAGCATTTTAACAAGCTTGTATGAACACTATCCTGGACCTCTGCCGCAGAGAGCGGCTCGGGGCACATAGGTTTCACGGTTAGGTGATATAGCATCCTGGCTCATCTATGTTTGTCAGGATCCTTCAAGGATCACTGAAGGCTACTAAAGGGCCTCCAGAAAAGGGACTGGAAAAACATCCTCGAGTCCCCACTCTGGCCCTATCCCACCTGCAGAAGTGAGTCTCAAAGGAATCTCCAAAAGAGCAGAGCAGCAGCAATCCCATACGCTTCGCGAAGCAACACCGCAGTGCGTACGAGCAACTACAGCCTGCTTTTCCTTCAGATCGTATTACCATCCGCTTCAGAACAGTCACACATTCAACCATCGGGAGGCAAAGCTTTCACAGTGTCTGCAGTACCCCAGAAATAAAGCCTTACCTGCCCAGAGGTCTTGTTTATCAAGGTACTTAAGAGAAACTATTCAGACTGATTCACCATGTCACAGAAGCCAGTGGAATTTGAACACAGGCAGCTGGCATCCCACAAAGTTTCACGCACCTTCTTTCACTCCATAGCACTGAATAGCCACGCGAGTTTTGGATTTATTCTCTCCCAGCTCCTCCTGCAATCTCTCTCCTTGGCTACAAGATGCTAGTTGTACTGCACCAGTATCAGAGAAAATCGTCACTGCTCCGGAACAGAAACACTGAGGACTCAGTGACAGATCCACTTAGGAACATTTAAAGAAGCAAACATGGACAGTCTGCATCAGATAGGCGCCAAGCGCACACACAGATTTATGATGGCATCGTTATAAGCCACAACAACATTTATTATGAAAAACATTTAGAAAAAACACACTCATCTGTGTGGCTATGCTTGAGATCTGGACGTGTTTTTCTCCCCAAGTCTCAAAGGGAATTGCGCATGCTGAACTCTCTGAAAAACAAATCTAGGCTTAGGTTTGCAAGACATTTCATTTATGTTGGCTATTCCCTTTATTGTAGGGCTCATTCTTCCTCTTCTATCCTTTCTTTAACGGCCTCCAGAGTTATTAATGACATAAGCCTAGAAGCGCATATTACGGTCTCTCCATTCAAGAGAATCCAGGACAGAATATTAAAAACCTTATTCAATAAGTTAAATGGAGAAGCCAGGAAAATGCTGAAGGTCTTCTGGCTCTCGGTCCTGTGCTTCCTCAGGCCATAAGATTACTCTCCATCTTTGCATTACCTTGTAATTTAAGGCATACGCCTGCAAGCTGCTGACTCAGCCCTTTTCACAACTCCAGTCTTAAGCCCTGAAAGGAACAGACGGGCACACAGGCTCACAGGGAAACGTGCAACAGCTTAATTTCAAAATAATATTGAGCTTTTATTTCTGCAGAGAATTCACTAGCTGAAGCTAATATGGCATGCACCTCCCCATATCAAAAATTTACTCCTACCAGCAAGGATCCCTTTTTTAATTTTACCAAATCCTCCAAACAATAGATCAACTCAGACAAGACGTGAAACACCAGCTTTCCTGTTCCCCTCCTTATCCGGGCAACAAAAGGAAAGTCTGGAGTGGTTGATTTGAGTCCTTTGTGCCTGTGGATCCAGCAATGCTCCGCTTGGCTTGCATGACATGGGGCCTCCATCAGGAGGAAGAAACAATTAGCGCTCAGACCACTATTGGCACGCCTGGGTCTCAGCCAGGAGTACCAAACAGTTGTTATTCAGCCACTCGAAACGGTATCGCACAAGTTGTCCGATCTACATT